AAGTCATGTTTATTATCAGTCTCTTTATAGCTTCTAAGTATTACTGAAGAGGCAAATTCTGTTCTTTCAGGAATTGTTTAATAACAACACTAACCAAATCATTTTTATGGAATCTCCTAAGAAAGCTGAAACAAATAGAAATCCAGCAAAGAATCTTTGCGCACATTAGAATGTATGGAGTTGCTCTGGCGGTGTTGCCAAGTGGTTGGGGCATCAGCCCGCACATAGAAGGGTCTTGGGTTCAATTCCCAGTCAAGTGCTAGTACCTGGGTTGCAGGTCTGCTCCCTGCCCCAGGGTTGGGTTGCATGGGGAAGATGACCAATCAATGTGTTTCTGTCACATCAATGTCTCCCTCCTTCCACAATCTGAAAGGCAATGGAAAAAAATACCCTCCAATAAAGGTCAATTAAGAAAAAAAATTTCATGGTGTTATTCTGAATGAAGGACTGAATAACTGCACTCAAGAAATAAACACATGGCCTCAACAATCTTTTCTTCTTTTTCTAAATCCCTTTTCTTCTTTGTGATCTCCGACCACCTCTCTGGACACTGCCTCCTGCAGGCTTATAGTCTTCTGGGCATTTGCGAGGATTTGGAATCCACACCCTCAACAGGCTGGGGCTTGCCTAGACGGACAGAAGTAAACAACACGTGGGCAAAGCACCCACAGACCCGAGGCCAGGGAATGAGAACCCAGCGATGAGCTAGGGCTCTCAGCAGTCAGGCAGGCCTCACATTAGGGTCCTTAGTAAGGCTTGGGAAGAGCCACAGAATGGGAAAGGAGGGGGCTGTGGGAAGGGGGTCTGTAAGTGCCAGTTCACAGAAGCCTGAGAAGCACAGGAGCATTCCAGGGAGCTGACAGTTTATGGCCAGTGGTGAGAATTCAAAGGGATAACAAACTAGAACTGTAGGAAAATAAAAGGCAAGAGTCTTTCGTAACATAAATTTGGAGTCATCAAGGAGAAAAGTAGAATGAAATGGGCAATTCAGGCTAATCTCCTATTTAAGATAGGCCACTAATTACTTGTAAGATGATAAGCAAATGGCTTATTTTCAGTTGTTTCCATTTTCCCACTCCTAAAAAGAGGAGAAGACACCTGCTCTACAGCACTCCCCATCTTCGCTACGCTAAAACCTGAAAATATTAACAAGTATTAGGCATTTTTAAAATGCAAGTGCTCATGTAGCTGCATGATCTACGGGGGCTTTTCCTTTCCGCCAATTGTCTAAAAGCTTATAAATGTGTAAGGGAGAGTTGATTCACCCTAGAGGCACCTTTTTGAACCCATGCACAATACTTTGCATTTCTCTTTCTAGTTTCAATCTCTTCTGCAACACTCCTCCACCACCAGCTAATTAACCACTCTCCTCTACATAAGAAGTGGTGGAACACTAACTTTAGGTAAGTCAGAACTCGAGAATGCATTTATTTACTAACAGATATAGATTTTCTTGAAGAAACAACAACACTGTTTCCATTAAAATAGTATCCACTTAATGTAGACTTTAATTTCTAAAAGGGAATTTTCCACTAGACTTGGGCAGTGGAGTCGGCAAGACTGTTTGAAATGCGTACATTTCTAATTATTGCTAGCACCAAATGGAATCCGCAATTTTAATCTCCACCTCCCATCCTGCCACTAATTCCCATTGAATTTCATGGGGAAAGAATTTCTCCTTTCGGTAGTCTAGGTTTATACACTTTCTGAAACCCCACGTTGGGGACTGACTCTTGGTTTAGAGAATTTTGTGTCATCCAAACATCTCCGGGCAGTTTGGCGACCCCAAAGAATTTACTCTACATATCCCTCTAGGGCAGTGGTCGGCAAACTGCGGCTCTTTGGCCCCTTGAGTGTGGCCCTTCCACAGACGACCACGTACAGTGTGACTGAAACTTCGTGGCCCGGGCACAGAAGTCGGTTTTCGGCTCTCAAAGAAATTTCAATCGTTGTACTATTGATATTTGGCTCTGTTGACTAATGAGTCTGCCGACTACGGCTCTAGGGTAGGGGTGTCGAACTCAATCAGAGAAGGGGCCAAAATCTAAAATCCAGCCTAAATCTCGGGCCGAATGGTTTACTGAACAGTCATAAACTGTTATTGTGATGGAAACGCAGCAGAGTGCAGTGATGACAGCGCGGTGCGGGCCACATTGCAAGGCCTGGCGGGACGGATCTGGCCCTCGGGCCTTATGTTTGACACATGTGCTCTAGGGGAAGACAATGTAATACCAAGATAAAAAAAACCCTAAGGCATTAGTAATGAGAACTGTCCTGTGCTCTGCTTGGACCCTTCTAGAAGGTCGCTGGTTATTGCATCTCACCAAGTGCCTTCCTGCCTCTTGCAGAACAGTCAACATCCAGCTGCTCCCAGTAAGTGGAGTAACAACACTCACTACGATGATGGTATTACCTCTACCACGGGTTCAGATCACCTCAAAAGCCTGCCGCATCCACATCACAGGATAACAACATTTCTCCTTTTGTTGGGGTAGTAAAAAATGGTAAGAATTCTTACTTTATATATTTAGGACACAAACGTGCCAGTGGTTAAGTACTATTTAGCATATGCTGCAACCTCAAAATGTTATAGTCTTTTATTACTAATTGCTTTACTCCTTTTGGAAACAAAGATTACTGATATATTAAAACCCAAATTTAAATGTTTTCTCTTCCTTTATTCCTCTCCAGTCACTTGCTGAAATCGTGATATGGAAAGGGTATCAGGTAATGTCTTTCATGCAACACAGCGTGACCCAGATTAGTAGAAATAAATACCAAAATCATCTACCTCAAATAGCGGTCAAAAGTATTTTACTGTTTCACTGCAGGACACATTTGCACCTCTGATTCCAAACACCTTTCGGAGGCTAAATGTATCTTTATAAGGAGGCGCTGGGAACGCAGAGGAGCATCTGTGAAGTAAGAACTGCACCATGTGGCCCTAACCGTTTGGTTCAGTGGGTAGAGCGCCTCCGGCCTGTGGACTGAATGGTCCTGGATTCGATTTCCGGTCAAGGGCACATGCCTACATTGAGAGCTCAATCCCCAGTGTGGGGCGTGCAGAAAGCAGCCGATCCAGGATTCTCTCATTATTGATGTTTCTATATCTCTCTTCCTCTCCCTTCCTCTCTGAAATCAATAAAAATGTATTTTTTTTAAAAAAGAACTTGACCATGTGGACAGCCACCATGTCCTCCCCAGCAGCAATGGCAGATACTGAACTGGAAAGACCACCAATCTCGTTAAAAACCTGTTTGCACTAAATTGGGGAGTGATTTTAAAAGCACAAAAGTAGATGCACACATCAATGCTAGTCGCTGTGATGGTCCTGACCTCACGTGGCCAGCCTGGCTGACTTAGAGGGAGTTTTCCCACAACCAGGCCCCTACCCTCAGAGGGAGCTAGTGGAGTTGCATGACTGTGTCTACCAGGCAGGACTGGGGAAGTCCTAACAGTTCCCTCCATGGCAAAGGCCCTTCTATAGTGTGTTCTATTGCAGATTTCTCTCTGTCCAAGTTTCCCTCCCCCCCGCCCCTTTCACTTGGTAATTGTACTATCAACCTTTTTTAACCTGGATGGAAAAATGGGCTTTGCAGGTCACTGTGTAATTGAACTAAAACGATGGAACTGATGTGACATGCCCGTCGATGAAAAGGACGCTTAGGCTCTCCAATGTGTAGGCGGGTTTCCTCTCTGTCTGCACGAGCAGCGCAGGAGAGCGAGGGCACCTCGACGTGGCTCCCGCGTGCCCAGCCCTGTCTTCTACTTTTCGCTGAGTCCACGCAGGCGGGTGACTAACCAATGAGGCATCAAATTCCACCCTTTCTCCCTCTTAGCTAGAACGTATTTAACCTACACACTTCCTAAAAGGACTTCTATGTTTGCTGACTTGGAAAGAAAATAGTAGCACACCATAGGCCAGTGCACAGATTGACGACTCCGGGTTTTACTTCCTCCCTGCCTATTACACACATTGTTATGATCTGATTTTAGTAGTGCTGCCTCAATACTCTACAAAATATTGCTCATCATATTTCATTTCAGGTTATCATTTGAGGAACCCAAACACAATGCAGAAAAGGTAATTCCTGGGAGATGAAGTGCTATAACATGAAAAATACTTAAAAACCTGTTTTAAACTCTGTCTAAGTGAGAAGGTCCATTCTCAAATTTCATGAACATTTAAACCATGACTAATGGAAAAAAAATTTTTAAATAATTTTGTTACACGAAGATCCCTAGAAACTATGTGTCCTTTTCTGACCTAAGGAATTGCAGGTAAGGGAGGTGCACTCCCTGCTTTTAAGCACGGGATTCGGTTTCAAGCTCCCCTGCCCGCTGGCCCGGGCTGCAGCCTCCACCAAAGGAGCAAAGAACATGAGAGCGTCCCGGGGTCGCACCCGCAGCTCGGATTCCGGGCCCGTGCGGCCCCGCTCCGAGCTGCCCCGCCGCTGAGTCAACGGCCCGCCGCCGCCGCGGCCGCCAGGGGCTCCGGGCGTGGGGTTCACCAGCGACTCCTCTCCGGTGTCCGCCGCCCCGGGCTCCCGCGGCTGGAGGCGGGTGCAGCGCCGCGACCCGCACGCCGACCCCGCAGCGCGATGTGCGGCGAGACGCCAGCCTGTGCCACCCCCCGGGCAGCGGGATGCCAGCGCCCGCGGGCGGTCCGGGGGGATCCCGGCCGGGCCAGACCCGACGCCCCAGAGCGATCGCCGCGTTCCTACCGCGCGCCGGGCTGGGCACCGGGCGCCCCGGGGGGTGGGAAGGGGCGAACGGCCGGCCCGGGGCTGCCCCGCCGCCCGCGAGCCCACGGCTCGGGCTTCGCGCCCCGCGCGCCCCGCAGGCACCCTCCGAGCGGGCCGGGCGCGCAGCCCAGGGCGCCGACGGTGGGGACGTGGCTCCCGCCGCCCGCCCGCCGCCCGCGCCCCCGGGACAAAGTTGCGCCGCGCGGGGCCCAGCTGCGCGCCCGCCCCGCCGCCCCCAATCCCGGCCCCGCTCACCGCTCCCCGCCGCTCCGTCCTCCCGGGCGGCGCCTCCCGGCCGCGGCGCGGGCTGCAGGCTCCCGGCCTCCGCACCGCAGGGCGCCCGGCGCGGAGCACTCAGCGCGCTCGCCGCGCCATCGGAGCCGCTGGGGCCGCGGGTGCGCCGCCGCCGCCCGGGGGGCGCTCCTTCCAGCGGCGCGGGCGGCGGGCGGGTGTGGGCGAGCCCCGCGGAGGGCGGGCCGGGTCCCGGGCTCGGCCGGAGGGCGGGGGAACCGCAACGTCACCGGAGCCCGCGGAGGCGAGGAGTGGGAGGGGGGCCGGGGACCCCCTCCCCCGCCGGCCCGCCCGGGACTCACGTTTCTCCGCCTGCGCCCGGCCTGCTCCGCCGGGCCTCGGGGGCGCTAACTTGCTCCAGTAGTTTCCAGGGACCCGTGCGTTTCGGGTTCCACTCTGGGATCACCCCCAAACGAGAGGAGGCCCAGGGGAGGAGGAACTTGGTGTTTCCATCCGGACCGGGAGAGAAATCGGGGGGGGGGAGGGGGGGGGGGACGCCGAGGACCTTTCCAGGGGGGCCCTCGCCCACTCCGCTCGCCCTCTCCAAAATAGCGACTCCTCCTTCTTTTTGCTTTTCCTGTCTTCGCGGAGAGAAGGCAGAAAATCACCTCCTAAGAAGCACGTTTTGCCTTCACGGTACTAACCAGCATATGCGAAATTGAAACCACCGACCCTTGCAAACGGAACGGAGGGCAATCCCCAAAGGCAGAGGGTCGGGAACAGAGCACGGAATGCCTGCAGCTCTCCAGAGGAAATTCCATTTATCTTATCTGCTAGGCCTGCGCGGGTGGGTGGGGGGGCCGGGGGCGGATGCGCCCTCCTCCATCGGGGTTCTGCGACCTCAGTAACAATCGCAGCTCCCTTGGAGAAGGGTCTGCAGTTTGCTTAAAAGCAGCCACTGCACCAACATGGCTCCCTCCCGAGAGGTGGCAGGTAGGAGCCGGGCCATCCACCTCCGGGCAGCCTCGCCTCTGTGTGAGAGTGTAATTAACCGACCAGAGCTAGAGGGCCCGGGCGTGGCAGACGTTTCCCCATCCCTCAGAACTGAGGGTGTTTTACCTGAGAGCAGTGATTTCCACCCCCCGCTTCACTTCAAAGGGTTTTTGAGGAAGTCTGAAGGGCCACCCCCTAATCCTGAGTTTCCCCAGACCTACAGAGGAGTTTCCATTAATTAGGCCACATTAGAAAAAAAAAAAAAAAGTGCATGTCTACTTTTATGCTTCTCTTACTCAAAGAAAAATTGCATTTGAAGAGACATTCCTTACAAACAGGTCAAGGGGAAGTGGTTTAATTAAATTTCTGAAATGTTTACACAGGTAAACCACTGATTTGCATAAACCTCCAAACGTTTCAGAGCGGCCTGCGGAAGAAAGAAGGGGCTCTAGAATTTAGAACTGGATTTTCATTCTGGTTTCAGCCCTTAATTTTGCAGTTTTCTACGGGGGGCCTTGGAAAATAACTTCAAAGCCTCAGTTCACTTATCTGTAATGTAGAGGTATAATGCCTTCACAGAACAGCTATAGAGATGATGCAATAAAAATGGCCCCTATCTGAGAGTTACTTCATGCCAGACACTGGGCTAAGGAATTTACAATTCAAGTATTAGAGACAACTAATTGTTGATTGTGAAAGTGTCTGTCATATGTAACCCATAGGGTTAGGGTAGGGGTTGGGTTAGAGGTAAATTAGGGTAGGGTTAGGATTAGGGTTAGGGAACCTATCTTCTCAAATTAGGAAGAGACTTTAGAAAACAAACCAACATCTCTTTTGATTTATTTATCCTCTCAACAAGTAGTCATCTAGTTCAGTGACTCTTCAACCTGGAACATCAAATCAGCAGGAGAGTGCTATAAGATACTTTTTTTTTAAAATTGATATAAGAGAAAAGTAGAGGGAGAGAGAAATAGAAACATTAATCAGCTGCCTCCTGTCTGCCCCACACTGGGGATCAAGCTCCCAAACCTGGCATGTGCCCTGGCGGGGAATTGAACCATGACCTCCTGGTTCAGAGGTGGACACTCAACCGCTGAGCCAGGCAGACCAGACTGATAAATACTTTTTAATAGAGGCCCCACACCAGACTAATAAATCAGAATCTCGGGGCTAGAGTTTAAGTACCAGCATTTTAAATGCTCTTCCCAAAATGCACAACTATGTTGAGAACTCTTCAAAAGGAGGCAGTGGTACCCACTAGCATTTGCTACTTTACTCCCAGTTTTGGCTTCAATTGACTTGAATATCTGCCCAATATCCACTTCTTGTAAAGTGTCCCCTTCGGAGCAGGCCTCAAAGATAAGCAATTTTGCCCTCAGAGTCTTCCAAGATCCAGGAGCCTTGATTCCACAGGAAAAGTGCTCCAGTTCACCTGGACACCTACAACACCATCAGCTTCTCATCCTTCCTGAAAGCCCTGGGGAGGCCGTTTACTTTGCCATCATCTCTCTGAAAATCTGATCCCGAGAATCTAATTCCGGTTTTATCCAAGCAACACACAGAGAGAAGATGTTTAACGGCTTTGTTCTAATTACTGTTATCCCCCACCCCCCCCCCCAAGTAAATCCTGGTAGCTATTATGGCAGTAACATTACCCCATTGTCTCCTCTATTACAATTTACTAAAACTCTCAAGCAGTAAAGTGTTTTCTACAACTGTTACAAAACACACCTCAACCTACGCTTTTTCCAACTTGTATTGAGCACTTAACATACTAATCTATTAAAATTCTGTTGTGCTCAGTCAGTTGGCGTTGGATATCCTTGATGCAAACGAGTAACTCTAACTCCCAATTTCATGTGTTCTGTAAATTTGGTCTGTATGCCATGTCATCACTCATGTTCTCATTCTATGTCAACTGAAACTGAAAGCAGGTGACAGTGAGGACCCAATGTGTTACTAAGTCATATTTTCATTACTTGCTCCAGAGTAGCATCTGAGTGAGTGCAGGGCATATTTGTGGAATTAGAAGGTGCATCACCCTTTCTCAGGCAGAAGGGTTAGGAAAAATCGACCTCTTCCTCCCAGATAGAGTCCCAAACAGCAGCCGAAACCGGTTTGGCTCAGTGGATAGAGCGTTGGCCTGTGGACTGAAAGGTCAAGGGCATGTATGTTGGTTGCAGGCACATCCCCTGTGGGGGGTGTGCAGGAGGCAGCTGATCGATGTTTCTAGCTTTCTATCCCTCTCCATTTCTCTCTGTAAAAAATCAATAAAATATATTAAGAAAAAAAAAAAGAATCCCAAATAGCAGATGTGCTTTTACCATCCAGTATGTTTCCTTTGCTGATGGTGCCACATTGTCAAAAAGGAAAATGACTACTTGGTGAATTCTCATCAACTTCTGAATTTCTTCTTCCTTTTCTAAGTGCCCAGATATTACTTTAATAATAGGTTTATGTTAATTTTGCTCCGGATATGTGAAAAGCCCCTTGTTTTGGTTTCGAGAGTCAAGCTGCTCTTTTTTTTTGAAAACGCCTTTGCCCATCTCCAGTCTTTGAGTGTTCCTAGCCTTCAGTGCTGATTCCAGATGAAAGTCCTAAATATATAAAGTCTCTTTGCTGAGAGGTAATTATTCTAGGCAAAAGAAGTTAAGCTTTAGGGAACTAGGATATTTTCTTATAAGTTCTTTGCTTAGTTTTCAATTAACTCTTCCAAAGTTCATTTCATTCTTTCCACTGAAATGGTTGTCTTTCTATAATAAAGGGGGTGGGGGGGGGGAGAAAGAAATTCTGGTTTGTCTGCTTCTCCCAAGTCGTGGCATCGTTTCTATGTTGTTCTTACCTGAACAGAACAAATTATATATATTTGTTGTCCTTAGTTTATTCTCGGCTCTAGCAAAATGGAGCCCAGTCTTACATGGGTATTACAAAGACATGGTTTCTGTTCTCTTGTTTAGTTATAATTCATTAAATTAGACTCAAAGCTGCCCTTTAGGTTTTACTAACCAGACAGCTGGTCCATGACTGAACAACTGCTTCAGCTCTCAAGCCAAATTAGTCTGTTTGTAAATAACCCCTTACTCTCAGCCAAAAGGTTCCTTCTTGAGTCACTGGAGAGGAATGATCATTTTGGTTTGTCTCAAGCCCGGTTGCCCTTTACTCGTACTTACTCAATGATCATCTCCTTCTGCTTCCCTTGCCCTTTCTGGACAGTCAGCTCTGGCCAGATAGCCACTGAGGCTTCTCCTACCCCCTTGCTCAGGCCTGCTGCCTCCCCCACTCTGCCAGGGCTGCCCTGCTTTCCTCCATGACCTAGGCTGTTCTTGTTTCTGCTTCTACTTCATTTCCAGCTGGCTCACACGCTCATCATTAAAACCAAAAGAGACAACAGGGTTGGAACTCAAGGGTATGATGCCAAGTGAAATAAGTCAGATGGAGAAAGACAAATGCCATATGATTTCACTCATACATGGAATCTAAAAGCAAAAGCAAAACCAACTCAACAGCGTGGTGGTTACCAGAAGGGAAGAAGGTTCGGGAAGAGTGAAATGGATAAAGGGGGTAATTTGTATGGCGACGATGGAAACTAGGTCTTGGGTGGTCAGTACACAGTAGTATATACAGATGTTGAATTACAATGTTGTACACCTGAAACATGTTATAAACCAACGTTACCTCAATTAAACAAAAACAAGCAGGCAAATGTAACATTTACCTACATTCCTAATCATAATTGAGTTGCACCTTCTTCACCCCAGTCACAATTTGAGGCTTTTATGTGTCATTCTTCTTTGGGTGTGATATATAATTCCTGGCCTCACAATCTTCTAGTACAGTAGTTGGCAAATTCATTAGTCAACAGAGCGGCAAATCGCGGCTCGAGAGCTGCATGTGTCTTGGGAGCCGCAGTTTGCCGACCACTGTTCTAATAGATCATTAAGTGTGCTTCCACGTGTGTTCCCTTTTATGCTCACAGGCACTCACATTAGTATTACATTGGACTCATGGGAAAACAGGGGCTAAAAAGTTGAAGCAAATTTCCCAAGTAGTAAATGGCTCAGACCACATATGATTAAGTTTTTTTTTTATATCAAATCCTGGTTCTTTCCAGTAAGCCCCTCGGTCTGTACTAGCTTTTCATTATCTGAAACCCGACTTGCAATTTGAGTGTTCTGGCCTCAGGTAAAAGTTATTCTCCATTCCTGATTGACTTTTGAAATGGAT